ACTAAACATTTTTAGCTTACATTCGCCACGTGTTTTAAATGTTTTTAATAGCATTATGAAAGCAATACAAAGAAAGCTGATGGAACTTTCAGATATGCAAATATTAAACAATAAGTTGAATTTAAGTTATACTGAAATTTTTAATTGGGGTAAATCAGTCGTAATTTATATCAGAAACTTTTCTTGTATGTTTTATAAGATGAATAAGGTCCATATGCTGGACACCATAAATATTGGAACTTGCCACTGTCATTTTAATACCAAAATATATTATCAAAGACTGCCAAAATTAAAAGTAGGTCTGAGAATTTGAAGGTATGCTTTTAACGTTTTATTTTATTTTAATATATTTTGTTGAATTTTGAAATTTTAAACTAAATATCACCACACAAAAAGATTGAGATCTTTGTTTCCAAAGTGCCAATTGGATGAATCAGTACAAATCGACACCATCGTATCTACGAGTAGATAAACTTATTGAATATATGAGATGTGTCAAAAAACTGAATAATAATAAGTTTGGGCCCACAAAACAAACAAATAACAATAAAAAAACGCATTAGCTCTGGAGTATAATATCTGAATGATGATTTTTAATTCTCTGGATAAATTGAATATGTTTTGTGTTCCATACAATGTAAGAAAATGTACTCTTGGTAACTGACAATTCAAAGGTGTTCAGAAATAGGTTGGATGGGAATAATTCCAAGGGTTGTAAATTTATATTCTTTAAGCAAATATTCAGTTTAAACTCTGTCACTTATACGTTATTCATATAGTTGATGATTGACGTTGGAATAAAATTAAATAAGATCTAAATATAATAAATGTTTTCAATCTAAAACATTTTACAGGCCCATACACATAATGTTTGAAAAGGGGTTTCTAATTTGTGAGATCAAAAACCAAGATATGTTGTGCAAATCACAATCAGTTTTTTTCCTTTGCTACGGGGTCTGGGGGTATGCCCCCCTAAAGAAAATTTCTAAAAAAGAAAGAAAAAATAGGTGCTATGAAATTAAATCTGGACGAACTATAATTTTGCACGAACTATAGTTTAAAAAGTGCATGGCTGTTTACATAACATCAACAAACATCTAATGAAAAGTAAACAAATCATCATTCATTTGTAACACTGCATGGGTAGCTAGACTGAAATTAACATAAATATGTATGTTATATTATAGTAAAGTATATTATTTTAAAACGAATGGACTGTGTTGCTGTTTGTTTATTGTTGAAATTTATCGTCAACATGTCACAGACACCTACTATAAAGAATCCGGCCTACAAAACCTGACAGTAGCAATAGAGCTTCGTGCTTCCAATTACAAAGATGGCCAGGTGGTTAGGGCGCATGACTCGCAATCTGAGGGTTGTGGGTTCGAATTCCCGTTCCACCAAACATGCTCGTGGGGGCGTTATAATATTACGGTCAATCCCACTATTCGTTTGCAAACGAATAGCCCAAGAGTTAGCGGTGGGTGGTGATAACTTTCTGCCTTCCCTCTAGTCTTTCACTGCTAAATTAGGGACGGCTAGCGCAGATAGCCCTCGTGTAGCTTTGCGCGAAATTCAAAACAAACCACACCAATTACAAAGTTTCAAGATAAGCCGTTGCATGCAACTATTTCAAGCCAAAAAATGCTAATGCTTCAACAGAAGAATGAAGACTATGAAGGAAACGTTGAATACCATAAGCAGCTGTGTTACAACTATATAAGCATAATTTTTACATCAGAAGAATAGGGAGTTCGGACGAACCCCCGTGTGTACGTATGTGTTTTAATGGACGATATTTAAAACCTTCATTTGATATGGAATCTCTGCTTCTCTTACTGTGTTACAGCAATTACCATTTAGCCATTAATATGTACTTGAAATTATAAATATATATACACAACAGATAAAACTGAGTGGCAGAATAACAACCACCGAATGTCACCATCTCCTGATACTAAAGTACACCATTAAAATTTACTTCTGTATGACTGTATCTGATATTATTTTTGCAATAAGAATGCATTACAAGGATGTCCAGAAATACAATTATCGTCAGGAAACATAGAGTTAATAAAATAAATAAATGGATAAATTATTTTCACCTCATAGTTTTTTAGTTTGTTAGTGACACATATTATACAGTTACGAGATATAAAATAAATAACATCATTTGTTTTACAATAATTAAGGATCTCCTTAGAATAATAAAAGGTAATATTATCTTTTTTCATCAAAGTTAATGATTATTGTAAATGCCAGTCTTTTAGTTTATTGCAGCTACCTTTTCAGCTATAGAATAGTCATTATGTATAAAAAAAAATACACGAAAATTATTGGATATAAACGGTTTCATCTTATAAAATCTATTGAAGCAAACAAAAGTTAGCCAGTGTTTAAACTTACATTTCTGCCAATATAGAAAATCAATTTAGTTAACCAGCGCAACTGGAAATGTTCAAGTATGAAAGTAAATTTTATACTAATAAATAAAAAGAACCCGTCTGGAATTTCACTAAAACATTTTCTTGAAGTTATGAAAACTTTGCATTAAGAAGTATACGTAGGTTTAGAATTTTTTTTCTTTTGAATTTCGCGCAAAGCTACACGAAGGCTATCTGCGCTAGCCGTCTCTAATTTAGCAGTGTAAGACTAGAGGGAAGGCAGCTAGTCATCACCACCCACCGCCAACTCTTAGGCTACTCTTTCACCAACGAATTGTGGGATTGACCGTCACATTATAACGCCCCACGGCTGAAAGGGCGAGCATGTTTGGTGTGACGGGGATTCGAACCTGCGACCCGCAGCTTGCGAGTCGAGCGCCCTAACCACCTGGCCAGGTTTGGAAAAAGGAAGCTCCTACTAGGCAAGTATTATAAATTGACGGTAGATGGTGCCACGTGACTTAAATATTATTGTTAAACTGGAAAACTTCAACAGAAACACATTGTAATTAAACTAACACTTTAATTAATTAATTGAGTTTCATGAAATAATTATCTGTTGGAAGAAAAAATTTGACTTTAATAGAAGCAAAATATCTCAATTTTTTAATTTTTAACGGTTTTTATTTTTTTTCCAAATTCAACAATTATAATTTTATGCATGATAGTTTTATTAGTGTAAAGCTACAGAATGGATTGTCTTCATTCTGTCCTCCGCGGGGAATCGGATCCCGGGTTTTAGCATTGCGAGTCTGTTAACTTATCGCTAACCCACCGGGAACATTTATTACAAAGCCCTTTTATTTGAATACATACTTTGTTCGATATAATCAAGTTACATAAAGCTTTTGTAAGGATGTCGTATTTGTATATTTTATAGCCATGTGCAAGAATAACACTGTTCTACTGACTGACAAACAAATCAATTTTTTCTGCTCGTGTTTTAATTATTTCATTAACTAAGCCAACATTATTTTTATGGTTTCTGAAAAAGTTACAAATGAGATGGCCACTAAATGGGCCAGGGATTCGGGTAGCTAGATGACGGTATGTCTCGGAGATAATGTATTTTTACACGAAGGTGGTTATTCATGGTATTGTTATGTGAAAAGTAAAATATTAAGATAATTCTTGAACACAAAAAAAGAAAGGTTTATCTAGATCTCTAAAAATTGTGAAATTAAGTTAGATGTTTAATACTGTTTCGAAATAAATGGGGTCACCAAATTAAGAACAAAAAAATTTTACAGGAACATTAAATATAACGGTACCTTAAACTTGATTCATATGAGCCATTCATACATTGATCAGCATAAAATTAATACTAGAATAATGAGAAATCGTAGCTTCTAAGTTACAAAGCTGATATCATTTATGTCTTAATAAAAAATTAATTAATATACATTAGACCATGTATTATAACTTCTGTGTTTGTCTATGTCACATGGTGCCTGTGTAATAACATTTGTGTTCTCTTTGTATGGTTTGTGATTCATAACCTCAGTTTCTAAGAAAATCATGTTTGAACGTCAATGATTCCAGATTTTCATGTGCACACTGGTTTAATTATAAATTTTATTTCATTTGATAACTTGTGAAGCGGTAGACGTCAAAGCTGTGAAATGAAAAGGTTAGGACTTCTGTTTACTGCTCTGACGTGATCTGGTCTCCAAACAACTGTAAGTACATCATGATAATGAAGCAATTAATGACCTGCCCGACTCGTCCTCCCTGGTGACTTCAGGTAATATGATCATATCGGATCCTCCTCGCCTTCCATGGTAACTCCAGGTGATATGATCATATCGGATCCCTTCTCACCTTCCCTGGTGACTTCAGGTGATATAGTCATATCGGATCCTTCTCACCTTCCCTGGTGACTTCAGGTGATATAGTCATATCGGATCCTTCTCACCTTCCCTGGTGACTTCAGAGTGATATAGTCATATCGGATCCTTCTCACCTTCCCTGGTAACTTCATGTGATATAGTCATATAGGATCTTTCTCACCTTCCCTGGTGACTTCGGGTGATATAGTCATATCAGATCCCCTCTTGTCCTCCCTGGTAACTTCAAGTGATATGATATAGTCATATCGGATCCCTTCTCACCTTCCCTGGTAACTTCAAGTAATATGATTATGTCGAATACCCTCTCGTCCTCCTGGTAACTTCAAGTGATATGGTTATATCTGATCTCCTTGTCCTTCTTGGTAAGTTCAGGGGAAATGACCAATTAGAAATTTATTTGAAAAAGTTAACCTCTTCCAATATAAAAATGTTGAACACCTCTCAAAAACAACAAAAAACATTAGACCCCTATCACGACGAAATAAAACTGTTCATAAGTTTCAAAACCTTTTTATTAAAGAAAAGTTGTTTATTGTGGGAGTAATGTTATACACCCTCCATACATGTAGTATTTGTGTAGTATGAAAAAATTGTTATATATTATCCATAAATAACCTATTTTTGAGGCATGAATAATGTTAAACAATCTTCTTATATAAAGTATTTGTGTGGGATGTTTAAAAAAATTGAGGAGAACGACAGTTGATAAAATTTCGTAGTTACCTTTACTGCTTACATTACAAACATACAATTGAAGTGGTTCGTTATGAAACACGACAACAACAATAGGCATTTCATTCAAACAAACACAACCAACATACACTTTAAACTTGTCGGTGAAAAGGTAAATGAAAATTAAGCTTAGACTCTAACTGTAGTACGCATATAATAGATATATACAAAATTACGGAAATAATATAATTAAGAATAGTCCGTAAATCGTTTCAATTTAGAAAATCTATCGTAATAGAAAACAATTATCGAGTGTCTAAGTTTTACATTTACGTTGATGTATAAAATCACTTCAATTAAATCAACTCGAAATGCTCAAGTCTGAAAACATGTTTCATATCAATTCCTTGTATAAAAAATCGCAGTCTTTACCAACCAAATATTTCCCCACATGAAAACTATATCAGTATCAAATTTAGTAAAAATCTAAACTATGAATTACTTGTAATTTATCTAGCTGTTACAGTTTTCTTTAATTCAATTGGCGTGGTTTTTTATTGTTATTCAAAACAAAGACGCTGCTTCGCGGCTCAAACGTTTGACATTAAAGTAACCGTATTAATAAACTGTTCTGTCGAAAGTTAATAGTTCATCAGGTGAAAATGTCAATTATTTTGTTTACAACATTCCTAAAGTCTAACGTGAAGTTGTGATAAAGTTTCGATAAGTGCAGCGAATCACAGCAGTTTATATGATCGATGAAACTGTATCGAGAACTTGACTCGTATAATTCACATACATTCCTGGATGACTTAAGCCTAATACTGAAGTACTGGCAAAAAAAAAATATTTTGATTTCGTTTCTTTTTTTATCTGTGCTCTGCTTATGTTATTTATCTTCACTTCCGCTACTTAGTTCAAAGTGTTCATTATATATTAGGGTCAGGATTGAAAAGGTGACTCTAATTAAACAAAAATAAGATACTTATTATACCAACTCTGCTGTTATTTAATTACAACTTTTTTTAGTATCTATTCTGTGCATGTTAAGTATAGCTTTTGTCTTATCTTTTCTGCACCATATTGCACACGTGGAGTTTCTACAACAATAGTTCCAAAACAGATCCAAATATGACACTGCACCATTATTTTAACATAATAATCTGCCAACTTATACAAATTACGTGATTAACTCACTAGGTTGACCTGTGGGCTCGAGCAGGTTTTCTTTTACATCGACACTGTGTTAATCACTGGTCTTAATTAAGACTTGAACAACTACGTCACACCCATCTAAGTTGTGACTTAGTTGTCCATTCATATTGTTTTAAAAAAGACTCGTGCTCGGCAGACCAACAGTCTGAGGAGACAAGTGAAGTGAGCTAAGTATACAATGTGTTACTTAAGTTGTAACATATGTAGTCTGGTTTTGGTCGTCAATTAAGTTGTAACATAACGTTGTCTGGTTTTGGTTGTCAATTAAGTTGTAACATAACGTAGTCTGGTTTTTGTTGTCAATTAAGTTGTAACACAACGTAGTCTGGTTTTTGTTGTCAATTAAGTTGTAACATAACGTAGTCTGGTTTGGGTAATAACATTTTGAGCAAAATTTATCAGTAACAAAACATTTATAAAACGCTTTAAAAATAACACTTCCAGATAAACACTTTTTAGTGTTTACATTGTCCATAGTGTCCTTCACACTTAACATGAGATAAAACAAACTTTTATACGTTTCCTATTAAGCATTCCTAAATAAGCGCGTTTTATAAGAATTTTAAATGTAGTTAAAGCATCAAAGGCGTGCTCTAACTACTCAAGACACATTGATAAACCCAAGTCTGGGTGGTAGTCAGAGTAACATTCGCTAGAGGACTTATTTGGCACGATAAATGACAATCTGAAATAACTACAGTCAGGCAGTTATTATGAATTCCAGATCAAAAGGACCATTGAAATAGCCATTTGGCACAAGTGTACATAAAGGTTATTGAACACGACTGGGCTAAGTACACAGATTTGTTAAGAAAAAGTCGTTATCAAAAACAAATATAAATCTTGAGAAGACAAAAAGTCAGCACATTGTTGATTAAACAATTTACACATCTCTTTCTTACTGTCTGTAAACGAAAACTTCCTGTGTTTTGTAAATATTCTATGAAAAAAAAAATGGTCGACACAATACGTTCTTTCATGAAAATTGCCATAAAAGTATGCTCTTCAAATAAAATTTATAAAAATCCATAAATATAAATTTCTATCATAAAAAAATCAAGATAGTTATCCGCAAGTTGTTTAAATGAGTGTTCGAGCAGTTTATTCTATACGAACTTTTTCAAACTTATTTTATGAATTTGTTAAGTTTGGTAGAAACGAAAAACTACAGAGTGATGACGCTTTCACGGGATTTATTCTATGCAAATAACGATAAAATTTCAGCCATAATAAACTTACGGGTGATATATGTTTTATAAAGAATAAAAATGTAGTGATAAATTATATTTACTGAAATTCTTTTTCAGCTTAACGTGTTTTGACCACCTTTTTAATGTTCCTTTAAATCAGTCTTGTTCATGAACCTAGCGATTAGTAGCATCGATGTTGTGCATTAAACTAAACCAGAACGTACAAACCGTATAGTTATAATAAAAGGTGTAATCCACAAAAAAAAATTAAAAACTGAGGTACATACAGGAGTTGTCATTTTAATCCTTCTAATAGTTAGTAGCCTATAAGATCACCTAAGTTTAATTATAAATTAGTTGCTTTTTTATTTCTAAGTACTAATTAGGTTATATTCTACATTTCGGCTGCTAATCTGCTGCCATCTTGAGGTAAGTCCCGCCAAGACCTCCGTGTGTTGGTAGGGGGCGAGATTTGATCCTAGGTCTATAGGTAATGTATATATTATAGGCTTACTAACCATGACAACGAATGATATCCGACGCCACAACCTTATCGTAAGAAGTTACGTGATTTCACTTCTTTTTTGCAATGCTGCTATAAAATAGTCTAGGATACGAGAATATTATTACAGTAACAGGATTTAACAGATGAGACGAAGGTTCTAGGGTATGTGTAGTGTTTTAGAAATGAAGAAGAAATACTTGAATTACACGTAACTAGGTCTGGATTATTTCAAAAATAGTTATTACTTCAAAATCCATATAAGTCTGGTAGATGTGCAATCAGTAAACTATAAATCATTTCATATGTCAGCTTACTCGCTTAACGAGTTTTTTCAGCATTTGATACATACCATCACAACCTTTTAATGTAACTACGAAAACACTTCGTTCATGATACCGACAAACACGTAATATCAAAAAGTTGGTAAATCGCATTCAGAAAAACTGATGCACACTAGGTGAACTTGGATTCATCAAAATGACTATGATAAAGACAATCAGACCCGACAAGTAGAAAGAGTCTGTCAGACTCTGTCGAGGCTAAAAATTAACTCTACAGTGTTGTAATAAATAAAACATAATCTAACCATAAACGAGACGATTGTTTTTGAAAATACTTTACGCTGAATCAAATTGATTTATCAAATTTTGGAAATGTTTCTATGAAGGTTAAGCTTACAGGGTCCAGCCACAACTTTAACGAATATTCGACTTATTACAAGTTTAGGTTTGGGATTCAACTTTTCTAAAGGTAATTCATCTCTTAACATATTTTGAAGTTAGGTTACGATTACTTGTCCAAAACTAAAATTATGTTCCCGGATCATGTTTACAGTTCTTTGGTTTTGTCAATGTCTTTCGTAGTTTAAACGTTTCACTAGTGCTACATCAGTAATATGACCATTGATAGTTAAAATTATATTCTCAATAGTGAATAGTGCTAAGTATTTTAAAACAATAAAACACGCATTGAACCCCGAAGTTCAGTGCTATAAGCTTTCAAATTGTATGCTGAGTCACCAAGAGAGTTTCCAAGTCAACCGAAAATTCCAACAGTTTAAACACAGAGTTCAAATTTGAAATACAAGTCTAGTTTGGATAACTTGAATATGCAGTTCAGAATGTTAATAGACAAATCGAAAAGTTAAAAAACAATATTATTCTATTTTCGTATTAATCAAGTGTAGCTACCGTATATGTCAGTTCTCCGCTAATGATTATCATTAGTGTAAATCCGTCAGTTATGACGCAATGTGATTAATCAAGAGAACTGAATAATCCAAGAACTCAATCACATCTATTAATGTACAAAAGTTCTGATAGTTGATTCTTAGGTAAAAATGTGTGCAGAATGTGAGTGTGGTCGTCTTATGAATCTTTGAGGAACATTCAACAGTTATTTGAGGCATATCTTTCTTAATTTTTAAGAAATAAACTTGAATTGCTAGACATCAGAGAGTATGAATAGCATGTTATTATACAGGCATGTATGTGTTAACAAGTTCATTTGCATATTTATAAATATTAATTTAAAAACAATATATAAACTATATAATCAAAGCACAAAATGCATTACTGTGTTGGCAACTTAATGGAGATTATTTAAATACAAAGTTTCTTACACTGGAATGACCCTAATTAGGATATATTGTTACTTTTCCCCACTATGATACTTCCGGAAAAGGTGTTTTGGGGCTTGGGCATAATGCACATATCAGTCTTGGTTATTACCCAATTTTGTCTTGCTTCTCAAGTTTTTAAATCGAGGTATAAATTATTTGTGTCCCAAAACATAGCTATGTGGTCCTCATGTACTTTTGGCAGCTATTTTGGTTTTCCTGTTGTTCGATAGTATTATATCAACTACTTATTCTGACGTGTACGACTAAGTTTAAAGTTTATAGAATCCCTTTTTCCCATTTAATATGAACGACTATAAACAGCAGGATTAACCTTTTGAATTCCGGTACACTCTTTAAATTCCTTTGTCCGCATGTCATATAAAGTGTTACTGAATTACATTCAAAATTTAATTAAACCACTTTACTAGCAATGTATTTTAATGAAACTAGCATTATCAAATACGTTATAATTAAAAGTTTGATATCATCCAAGATAGTATTCCTTTATTTCGAAAGAAAGCTCTGAAACAAACAATTAAATCTTCAGTTTTGTTGTCACGTGACGTGCGTTCAGTTAAACAGAAGCCCATTTGTTAACACCTTTCAAAATTAATTGGATTTTGAAACTACAAATTTCTATTTTGTTTTTATTTTTCACGAAACCAGCATTTAATGATTATTCGTAAATATTCAAGCGAGCTTATCAACATATACATGCCTTTCCTTTGGAATAACACGTCATTCATGTGCTCTAAGCGAGCTCATTAACATATACATGCCTTACCTTTGGAATAACACGCCATTCATGTGCTCTGAGCGAGCTCATTAACATATACATGCCTTACCTTTGGAATAACACGTCATTCATGTGCTCTGAGCGAGCTCATTAACATATACATGCCTTACCTTTGGAATAACACGCCATTCATGTGCTCTGAGCGAGCTCATTAACATATACATGGCCTTACCTTTGGAATAACACGCCATTCAAGTGCTCTGAGCGAGCTCACTAACATATACACACCTTACTTTTGGAACAACACGCCATTCATGTGCTCTGGTATGGCACCAACTTAAGTTCCTATCATAAAACTTAAGCTCATATAGCTGTTGTATATAGGGGTATTAAGTATTTTGTACGTTACAGCAGAAACGGCTCAATTTGAGCACTTTCGTTACCCCTAGATTTCATAACACTGCCAGATTTAAAATTCTGCACACATTTTTACTTAGGAATCAGCTCTCAAAACTTTTGGTCCCCTGGTGGGACAGCGGTAAGTCTAAGGATTTACAACGCTAAAAATCAGGGTTTCTATTCCCCTCAGTGGACAAAGCAGATAGCCGGATGTGGCTTTGCTATGAAAACATGCACACACACACAAAGATTGCGCTCAGACACATACTGAAAATGAGTGAGCTCTTAGACTACGAAAAGCGATTTTAACTAGTGTAACGAAGTTATGAATAACATGACGTAAAACACGACTGTTTTAATATTAATGAATGGAGTATTTATACTAAAGCACAATCTTTATTCATCTTACCACTTTTACTTTTGGCTTTAAAATAAAAATAAATGGATTTCCAAATATAATGTGGACTGGGTAATAACCTATGGCAAAGTAGATCTGTACACCATTAAATTCAGGGCTGGACTAAGACCAAAATGGGTCCATACGCAGCTTCAGTTCTGGACCGCCCTTTCTCCACAAGTCCTTAATTATTCAACTTTTGCATGAAGTTTTACCCACAAAAACAGTATTTTGTCAAATGTAATCATTTCAAAATACTACGGACAGTACCGACTTAAAAATATCTAAAAAAAGTTATAAAAACTAACTTCGGTTAGTTTAAACAGAGATAAAACAAACGTGACCTAGTATATACAATTTAAATTGAAGAAAAAATTGTCCCAGCAGGCCCCTTGACACTGTGATCAGACATATTATACATGTTTATTAAAAACAAAAAAAGCATAAAACTATGGGCCCTTGACATCGTTGACACATAAACAACTGCCTACTCTATCTTTTGGGTAAACTGGTTCTGCTTAAAACCCCATTGTGTGTGTTAAAAGAGGTAAACTGGTTCTGCTTGAAACCCCATTTTGTGTGTGTTAAAAAAGGGCCAACGTTACAATTGAAAAATTTCGGTTGATTTTCTGACGCTACTGAAAAATAAAGAAAGAGAGACAGATTAATTCTTCTAAACACCAGTAAACTCTCTTCCCGGTTTTCTCTGACTTGGTAAAAAATCAAAGTGTCATTATTACACCCAATACTGGTTTTTTCTTAACACAGGGTTATTCGAAGCCCCGTAGCGTATATCGTTATCATCATATTGACTCCAGTCTTCGCTTTCACTAAGTTCTGAAGGATCAACTACACTATAAGATGCGTTCAAAGCTGTCTCGTTCACATCTGGTCTGTCAGGATGACCAAGAGGTGTGACCTTACATGTAGGCACAGTGGAACTCACCTCTGTCCATTCACTTCCGTCAAGGTCGTAAGGAGGTGGAGGTGGGGGTGGTAATGGTGGGTCTAAATCCAAGTTTTTAGACCTACCAGCCATAGCTCCACGTTTAGGGGTGACGCTACTACACCTGCTTCCTGGACTGGACGGAGACGTAGGGGGGACTGGAGGAGGAGGAAGCTCATCAGACATAGATGCACTTCCATTAGATGGAAGATGATCATCATTCAAGCCTGTCTGTGTAACGTGTGAACCAGGTTGTTTGATAACTGAATGACCCCTTTCTACCCCTTTAGACCTTCGTTTTGTGATGTAGCACTTGAGTATCAACAGTATGATAATTGCCAACAACAACATCCCCACCACTAAACCGATTATTAGCACGTGATCATCACTAATCTGAGGCGTGTGCACATTTTCTTCTCTTTCTTTCTTGTCCAAAGCAGGACGTTGAGTTAATTCAACCATGCCCGACAAGGATACACCGCTAGTTGGATGCACTGTCGACGACTGGTCTTTTGGCTGTAAAGTCACGACAAATTTTCCATGGGCTGGCTGTACTCCTGGAGCTGATAACATATATTCAACTTCATCAGAAACTGAACCTTGAATGGCAATGTCCTTACTCTTATAAATTATTCCTTTTTGGGTGATATCCTCGTGGGTGAACGTTTCCACGACTTCTGTTTGTCGCTTAACTCTCGATACTGTGAGTTTTTGTAAATATCCGTATTTAGGTTGCTTTGTGACAGAGTATATTGGATTGCTGTCTGTCTGTTCTGCCAGTTTCGAAGCATCTAACACGTCTAAGGTTAACAATGCATAGTCGTCTGAGTAAACATTAAAAGGACCTTGCTTAACCAAGGGCACCACTGTTACATTGGTGATGTGGTGTGGTAGGATGTTATCTCCATAAATCACTTCTACTACAAACTGGTCCCTTGAAACTGTCATATCTAATTGCATGTAAATAACTAAACCTTTAATGATGTCACTTTGTTTAAACTGTGTTACAATATTTTCTCTAATAAAGATCCTACCATACTTGGGTGCTTTGGTCACGTGGTATAATACAGCATTAGGATCACCATTAGTAGCAGCTCCCAGGTTTTGAGGTCCAATTGACACTGTTGTATGTCCTTGGAGGAGTTCTAAGGTTGTTTTGTTAACTAATGTCAGAGACAGAGGGACTACATGGATATTGAAGGCTTTATAGACAGGTTTATATTTACCATCGCTGACTTTGAAATGGAATGTTCCTGGTCTCTTACTTCCATCATGGACAAAGTACACCAAATTCTTGTCAATATCATCCTGAGTGAAATTTTGTATTATGTGATTTTCGTAGTCCCTTTTTGACAGGAAACCATTGGTAGCATTACTAATTATTTCATAGATGATATCTTCAGGGACTCCATCAGAATCTTTAGTGAAAAGAATCTCAGATGTGATGATCATCTTTTGGCCTCGAACGACGTTAAGCTTCGGAGTCTTCGTGATTAACTCAAACGGCTGATCGTTTACATAAGATACATTCACATGAAGTGTTTCGTTATAGAGTAAAATATTTGGAAAGTTCTCTTCACCCACTAAGTAAAATCCCAATATGAACTCATCAGAAAACGTGTCAGAATTGTCATGGTGGTACTTCAGCAGTCTGTCCCTGATATCAGTCTTATTAAACCATACATTAGTGGTTTTCGTAATGTTTCTGCCATTTAGTGATAACCATCCATGGGATGGGAGATATTCTACCGTGATTTCTAGTTTACCCACTAAGTGTTCTTTTTTTTTACTTTGCCATAAAGTCAAAATCTGCGAAAGATCAATATGTTCTGGTCCAATCGAACACTGGCCTCCTTCAATAACATCCACTGGGTTCAGTTGAATTTTTCCTTCCAGATTTCCAATACCAAGGTTGTCTACTGATATTTCAATGGTAAAAACGACATTCTTAAGAACTTCTGCATATTCGGTATCAATGTCGAAAACAACTGTATCATTTGTAGTAAATCCTATCATAGGTTTAGCTTGGTCATACAAAATCATATTCTTGTCTATTTGACTCTGTGTAAATCGAGTCACGGGAGATAAAGCACCATTAGGGTTTCCCAATAGAATTCTCCCATTTTCTGGTTCTTTTCGCACGTAATAAAGAATTTTTCTATTGGAATCTTTGTCATTGGTTGTCACGAGTAGATGAGCTCGTGTAATAGATTGCTGAGTACCAGGAAGTACGCTCAGTTTTTCGTTAACTTGTAACACTAGCTTCAGCTCTCTTGCTGTAACTGTGAACACGTGTGGAGAGCCTTTGTTCACTCCGTCACTCACCTGAATCCGGAATCCACCAGTGGCTTCACCTAAGATTCAACAACTAAATATTAAGATGCGCGATACTTTTTTTTTTTTTGAGGTGTAAATAAAAATACATTACAAACCATCTTCAAATTCAGATGTTATATTATTGTACAGATGCACAGAATTCAACAAGATTTGTTAATCACAATGAAAATTATTAGCGTATCTTATAAATATAAAGTTAAATGATAACTCCTTACTGCAGGTTATATGATAACTCCTTACTGCTATGAACTTGGCAATATGTTGAAAAAAAAAAGCAACTAGGTTATTAGAATGAATTGTATAAAGTGTAATTAAAATTAATTAAACACTTTCTGACCTTAAAAGATAGAATACTTCCCTAAGAAAAATATATTAAATTTCTTATCTGGTAAATGTGTTTGTCTATGTTAGAAACTAATGAGTGAGAAGTGTTGAAGCACACTCTTAAACGTAATTATTTTAAATCTTACAAATAATTCTTAATAAATTATGGTCTTTTTTCCATTTGCTCTTTAATCTACACATGTTTTTATATTTTGGCTCCTTGATTTATTTCAGAACTATGTTTATATCTAGAAATACAGAAACTTTTTTGATAACTATAACAGAAGTTTATTTTAATATTCTATATAAATATTATCTTATTATTATTTCAGTCTACAAGTTACATCTGCACTGCACACATCTCTAAAACCAATGTAGCAGTTAAATAATTATCAAACATTACCACAGAATAAAATTCTGATTATAAAGTAAAATATAATTTTGTGCTGAAATTACTTAGTCAAGATTCTGTGTACTTTATTTAACCAAAAATTAATTTTACATTAAAATAACGAAATTGTAATTAATATTCTTTATAGTTTACAAGACATAATTTAGTTTGTACTTTAAAGTATAAAAGGAAGAAAAAACTTCTCGAAGATGCCAGTTCATGATATTGTATCACAGCAGATTAGGAAATTTTTTAAATGTTAGATTACAGGTACACGTTAAATGGTAAATAACACAAAATAAAACATACACTTACCTGTGTGGACAAAGACGACTAACTCTCTATTAATATCATCTTGAGTGAAACTTCGAATAGGTGACCTGGTATCATTTTTATAAGAAACGTAACCATTGCTTGGAGTGAAAATCTCAAAAATTATATCTTCAGGTTCAGAATCGTCATCCCCAGCTGCGAGGTGATGGTTAGTGATGGTTGCTAAGGAACCCTCCCAAACCTCCAGACCTGTATTGTTGATTAAATGAGGAGTTTCATCATTAATCGGCGTTACCATAACGTGAATAGTACTAGGGGCACTTTCTTTGTTCAAGGACTTAGCCTTAGCTACCACAGTAAACCAATCTCTCATAACCTCTGTTCCATCATGAACATATTGTATCAACCCATTCTTCAACTGGAAAGAGGTAAACTTCATTAGTTTACTTCCTGGGACGTTAATGTTTGTAAGATGACCATGTTGAGGTTCTTCTATCACCAAGTACTCGGACAGCCAGTCGTTATAATAAGGATTTGCTACATTAACAACTTCAGAGTTCAGAGGAGCAGCTTCGCCTTCTGCAACTGTTATGTTTCCTGTTTTAAGAAGAATTATGTTGGATAAGATACTGATAGTAAACTGAAGACCTGAAATGGTGGTTATTCCGTTGGTGACATCAAACGTGAAATGATCAAAAGACACATTACTTTTTGTCTGTACATATTCGATGTGCCCTTCATTAATCATAGCCTGGGTAAACCTTTTGGCAGATGTCCTATTTGTAGTAGTTCCCTCGTCAGAGCTTTTATTAGTAATCCTGATAAAACCCATTTCAGGGTCCACCGTAATGATATATGTAATGTTGGTTGGGTTGATATTAATGTGGGCAATGTTGAGTGAAGCTGGATCTATTACTACAGCTTTACCCTCATCTACGTGGATCGTTCTGTTGCTTAGTACACGGGGTGGCTCCCAGTAGCTTTCTGGAAACACTTGGATGTTGAAAGTTCCTTCTACACTAACGTCTTCTACAAACGCCAGGAACTGAAAGAAATCGGAGTAACTCTGGCTATTGTCATTTTCATACTCCAGATATTGAAGATCTAAATCTTTGTGCTTAAATTGGTTTGCGACACTTCCTTTAATCAATATTTCTCCATGCTTTGGACGAGAAATGATTTTAAACATGACATCATCAAGGTTAGAACCAACATTAGTTTCTATGCTAAGATTTTTCGACGTTATGAGTTCGATATCTCCTCTTCGTACTATTAACCCCGTGTTTGTTGTAACATTGATAAACGGATCTGACGCTCGTATTTTCACGTTTCCTGTAGCGTAAAACTGGCCGTCAGTAATCCAGAGGACAGCTTTTCCATAGTGAGCTCCATTATGTCGGAATATTATTTTCTCATTGTTTAGATCTTCCTGGGTAAACTGAAAAATCTCAGTATCGGGTGAATCAACGTGGAAAAGAGCTCCATTTGGAATACCTTTACGAGTGTATTGAATATCAGTGGGTTTAGAATCAATGTCTAAATCTTCATATTTCAAATATTGGGAAGTTAACTTTCTCTCGCCATTTATTTTCACGTAAAATATTTTATCGATCGTACGAACAGGCGGGTTATCGTTCTTCATCTTTACTTCAATGTGAAGGGTTCCATAGTATACAAAATCGCTGTCAGAAGCTTCTGGGAAGGCAATGAAATGTATCTTGTCTTTGTTGTGCTCAGAATCATCGTGAATATAAAATAATCGTTTATCTTCTATGTCGTCGTTTGTAAAGGAGGTTGGATAATCTCTCTCAACAGCGGTAAGAGCAGTGTTCATTAGTCTTAAAATTCCATGCTGAGGTTGTGTCGTCACGTTGTAGATTATCACTTCTTCATTCGGAATTGTCATAAGTAAGAATCGTTTGCTTATTTCAACGTGTTCTCCTTCAATTACTTGTAGTTTTCCAACATTTATCACAGCCCCAGTATCAACTGGGAGATGTTTAATGGAGAATATTTCCATTTTGCTTACAATTCCAACGCAGGATACTTGGAACTGAAAACTATCATTAATCATTGAGTAGGAGTTCCTAAGCAACGCATATTTTATTAACTTTTTCTCAATATCTTCTTGGGTGAATTCGGAGCCGATCTGTAAATTCACGATTTGTGTATTATCTGTGGAGAGATAAAGATGCCCATATAATGGGATGGAGAGAATAGTGTAATGAATTTCATTCTCATTTGTTGGAACAGGTGAGGTTTGATAATAGAGATTATCAGAGGTAAGAACACCGTGAGTTATTTTATCTAATACTAGTTCCTTATTGTTCACCTCAGTCAAAGACACCGCAATAAACTGCACGTGAAAATCATAAATTGTTGGTATTTTTATGTCCAAGCATGAAATAGAAAATTTAAATTCGTCCCGAGAAGGCTTTCCTAACGTGTGTATGTATCTAACTTTACCTTTATTGATCTGCTTCTGGGTAAAGTGATTGATTGTTCTCCAACGACCCTTGTTTCGTCGCTTCTGTATGCTCCCGTGCTGAGGCAAGCGTGTGATGTCATACCGAATCTCCAGGTCTTGATCCGGGGAGTTGGTAACGAAGGTTAAGTTGTTCGGGGTGATAATAGTGTATGAATTCAAAGGCAGTATTATTCCCGTGTTGTTGACGAGTGACAACGTTAAATCAAACGTCTCTACTCTAAGTACAAATGTTTGCCCCGTTTCAATTCCATCAGACACTCGAAGAGCAATTCGCGATGTAGGCGGGCCTTTATGCACGTAGTAAATTTGTTTATTGATGATATCTTCTTGAGTAAAAGAGGTAACAAGATTTCTTGGATCCTTGATGTTTTCAAGATACCCTTCCTCTTCGGTTTCGATATTTAATACTGAGTAAACTAAAGAACTGGGTTCATTATCCGGGTCTTCAATGTTTAATATGTCTGAAGTGAGTGGCATCTTAGTGTACTTGGCAAGTCGAAGCACATTACCAGAAGAAACTTTTAATTTAGGAGGATCGTTAACTGGAGATATTTTAATGTGAAACACAAATCTATGACGTTCTTCTAAAAATGGGGGTAAACGGTAATTTTGAGCCTGAAACTCCAGCTCAATAACAAACTTGTCGCTATGGTTTTCTGATCCATCGTGGGTGTATCGCACTTTATCGGTATAAAGATCTAGAAGAGTGAAAATGTTATCTGCTATTTTTCTCCAAATTTCTATTTCTAGACTGCCATGCTCTGGTGGCTCCACGATGTGAAATAAAACACCAGATTCTCTTACTCCATATTTCTGGTAATCTAACACAACCTTGATATGTTCTGATGTTAACAAATCGTTTCCTCCTTCTGCTACTTCCAGTGGATTTAGGGATAGTATTTCTAGGTCAATGGGAAGTGAAGATTTGGTGAAGAGCTTGTAACCAGAAGTAAAGTTACTGCGCACACATACAGGTTTATCACACATACAGCGGAAGCTATTCAAACCTTCTTGGAAACATTCTGCTTCCTGAATGCAAGGGTTCTGGAGACAAGGATATTGCCAAACACAGTCAGGACGAATCCTATGGCTGATTTCTATCTCCCTGTGACCCTTGACCTGATTATTGGTCTTAATATTCTTCAAACACCCAGCCAGAGAGCTGTGGGTTCCTCCCGACAAGACAGACTGCAGACCATGCTGTAAAGCCCGAAACTTTTTATTTGGTTCTATTCCTCCCACGTAGAGATAGCCAGTCAAATCAAAGAACCTATTTTTTCCAAGACCAGGCCTAATATTCTTACTTTCTCCGTCCACAGTGAGTTCGACATAAGTTGGGCTAAACTGTGCATCAACGTGGTGCCACAATCCGTTATTAACCATTTTATCCGAAGTTAGCATAACCACACCATTACCCTCATTAACAGATAAGGTAACCTTACCAGAAATAATCTCGATCGCCAAAAAATCTGTTTTCGAAGGGTTTCCAGAGTTATAAAACAGTACAGCTAGACGAGACTGGGTTTTCACGTCAAAAGATATGGAACCACCGTTCCTGGCACTCACAGCAGGAAGAGCAACAAAGGATTCCTCTTGGATAAAACTAATAGGTTGATGTGAAGTCGCCTCGAATTCTTCGCTACAGTCCCACGTGATACCATAAACACTTTGTTTGTTTTCAGAGTTGGCAGCGAGTCTTAAAATATCGTTGTCATTGAAGAAAAATTCATCTAAACACCCACGAAAATTTTGAAAATTACCTAAAAACAACTTGTCGAAACCATTAATACCACCAACAAAAATTCCAGACTTAATATTCAGTTCAAAAAAACGTCCACTTATGTCAAGATAAGTGGTGTGGATACCGTCAACTCTTAAAGTTAGCTCCGCAGAGATTCTTTGTATTTCTATTTCATGCCACAAGAGGTCATTCAGCTTCAGACCAGGAACTGACGTCAAAACTTCTTCTCCAGATCCAAGGTTGATGCGAACCTGCAATGTTATTACTAATTACCAAATATACTACATTATGATTAATCACACACATGCGCATTCTCAGTTTCTGAAGTAAGACTGCGTGATCGATACCAGGTAGGCGGCAGCACTGCCTATGTATGGATGGCTCGGATTGTTCATTGTTAATTGCTATATGTTAATTCTTGCCTGTGTTATTATGTAAAGATGATACAAATGCCATCCCTACTACTTTGTTTGCATTGTTTTTGAAAGATTGATATTAGTTATCCCTACATTTACTTAATTTTTGGGTCCGGCATGGCCAGGTGGTTAGGGCACTCGACCCCCAATCTGAGGGTCGCGGGTTTGAATCTCCGTCCCACCAAACATGCTCGCCCTTTCAGCCGTGGGGGCGTTATAATGTGACGGTCAATCCCACTATTCGTTGGTCAAAGAGTAGCCCAAGAGTTGGCGGTGGGTGGTGATGACTAGCTGCTTTCCCTCTAGTCTTACACTGCTAAATTAGGGACGGCTTGCGCAGATAGCCCTCGTGTAGCTTTGCGCGAAATTCAAAAACAAACAAACTTAATTTTTGTAAAAGTTTTTATTTACTTGTTTTTTAATGTTATGTTTCAATAGGAAGATCGTATTTATAACCGAGTTCTAAATACAATGAGGTTCCAATTGTAATATTTATTATTTATCTATTATTGGCTAGTAATTCCTGTTTCACCCTGTACCAAATTTCTGTAAGAAAGCTAACTTTAAGGGGTAATGATAACATCGTTCACACTAGAATTATGATTTTTTTAAATAACTACTAGTTAATAATAAATATAAAAGTGGATACTCCGTTTTAAACTATGTCACCTCAGTGAAACTGGTTGACACTATTTTATTGGTTTTTGAGTTATTATGTAATAAAAAAGAAGC